AGTCCACAAATGGCCGCCTTCGAATTTTCAATTACACAAATCTCGGAATTTAATGCCACCTGAAATTGCTACTTCACGTATGCTGCACTACAGCAAACGTGAAGTAAAAGTTTCATTGTGGTACTTGTCGGGGAAGCTGATACTTGTGCACAGCGAAACACTAATTCAGTGAAGCGTATCTTGTCCACGCGAGATATCGAAGGAAAGAAAATTCATAAAACGTAAGTTTTGTAACATATTTTTTTTTTGTATCTACGCATCACTAAACATTCAAGAAACCGTTTCGCTTGATCCATCCTCCCTACTGTCGGAGGTGGCATACTTGGCCAAATGATCCTCTAGCCACTCCTGCGGGTGTTCCTTCTTCCGGTGCGAGTACATAGTGGCATTGGAGAAGAACTTTTTCTCGCAGTACGGACACTGGTACAGCGGCTCTCCAGTATGGGCATTCGCGACATGTTCCCGCAGAGTAGTTGCCCGTGAATACTCCTTACCGCACAGTTCACATACATGTCGTTTCCTATCCGGCGCGTGGTTGCGACTCATGTGCACCTTCAAGGCCATCAAATTGATCGACACGTGACCGCAGACCTCACATTTGTACTCTTTACCCTCCTCTCTGTGCCGCTGTACATGCTTCAGCCAGTATGTGTGATTCTTCATCCACTTGTTGCAAACGGGGCACTGCTTCCGTAACTGTTCCGCCGTAAGCTCATGCGTTTTGCGATGCGCCAGAAACATGCCCCGCCGGTAGAATCCTTTCGAACAAATCTCACATATGAAATCGGTTGGCTTTTGGTGAACAGCTTTTATGTGTTTCTTCAGGAACAGTTTACGACGGAAGCACTTGCCACAGAGCTCACATTTAGCCGTTTCGTTGTCCAGTGTTTCATGTTCCATCAAGTGACTTTTAAGTATCCCTTCTTTAGTAAAGCTTTTCTCACATCGATGGCATTTGAACACGGGTTCTTTCCTGGCAGTGTGATTCTCCTTCTTGTGACGAAGGTAACCGCTCTTAGACTTGAATGTACCATTACAAATTTCACACTTGAACGCTTCCGGATTCAGCACATTCTGCACGTGCTGATACAAGATAACACGTGTCCTGTATTGAGTTCCGCAGCATACAACCGTTCTCTTATTATGCGATTTTATTCGATGACGTTTGATAGCTCGGAAGTTTTCAAATTCTATATTACATTCATCGCAGAAATAGAAGGTGTGTTGTTTGATGAAATCATCTTCCGCTTGCCGTGCTTCGGGGGTCAACAGTTTACGCGAATGGGGATTTTTCCGTTTCGCATTCCTTTCACCCGGTGGTCGTCGCGTGTACTTTCGTTTCTTCTGTGGTTCCTGGGTCGATTCCTCCTCCAAGAGTTCAGTACATTTTTCCGCGTTTTCTAGCTTGCAGTCCACTATATCGAAAGGTTTTAGATTATGCACAGGCAGGTCTATGCAATTTACATGAAGTTGATCCTCTTCAATCTCGATTTCCTCTTGTTTGATGAAAACTGATAGCGGTGCTGCTTCCTGCTGTTCATGGAGTTTCTGCACATCTCGGTAGAATTGATGGAACTGATCCACTTTTTCCCAACAGATTCCACAGACGATAGCAGTTTGCAGGTCATCTTCCTGTGTTCGGAATGGGGATTTGAAATTGAACTCCCAACTTTGACATTGAATGAATAGTTTGCTTACCTTGAACCAAAAATGTTGACAGATTATGTGGCATATATTCAGGTCGGAATCCGATGTTTTATGAAAATTTACAGGTTCCTTACAGCAAATAAAACAATTTTTACTAGGGAAATTTGAGTTCATATTCGTTTGTTTTTCTTAAAATGAAATTGACAGTTCAATCAGCAAAATAATGCAAAACCGTGTCTCATCCACATAAAAAAAATTGATGTATAGGGAAAATGTCTCTAATGTTGGCCTATGGATCTAATATTGGGCCCATCGCTAAAAATCAGCTATTTATCAATTTTATCTAGATGAACGCGTTATTGTGACGTTACTAATGGATATTTTTGGTTGCTATTGAAAATTTAGTCGTTTGCTGAATTTATCATATCAAAAAAATATTTTTTTTGTATGAGAATTTCGTTCGAAACGAAATACAGAATAGGGGTGTATGTATGGGCCCAAATTAGGGACACTTAGGCCGACATTACCTGCATTTCCCCTATTACAGAAACATGTTGCATGCATCGGTGTGACAAATTCGTAGTCGTGTTGATGTTCCATTTTTTTTTCGATTATAATAAGGTGACCAGACTGTTTTTATCGTTTTTATTAAATAATAATAAATTTTAATCAATTTCAATTGGCCTGCCTGGAAAACTGGATTGCCAGATTTCAGTGCTAACATTTGAAAACGGCGCAAAAGCCATTTGTAAACAAATGGTTTGTGGGCCCTTTACTCGCTACCCGAAGAACGCCCACGCAAACCAACAGCATCGTCAGGAAGGGGAAAATTTCCCCTACCCGATGTTGCTGTTGTGTCGCGTGGGTGTACTTCAAGTAGTGAGTAAAGGGCCCACAAACCATTTGTTTACAAATGGCTTTTGTGCCGTTTTCAAATGTTAGCACTGATTTGAAGACATGTTTTCATTTTCAAGACATTTTTATCTTGCAAACCTTTTTTAAGACATTTCATGGTTTTTGAAGATTATAGTCGGTGTATAAAGGGCCACCCACGTTAGATCCGTTTGCGTTGCGTTGACGTAAATTTGACAGTTAGACAATAAATTTAGCTTTGCCGCAACGCGTCCGATCCGGATCTAATGTGCGTGGGCCTTAAGAGTCACACCAAGAGTGAAACCAAGTTTACCTATTGAAATGTCAAACCGGCTACCTATCGTGCAAAGTAAACCAAAATTACGAGACTATACACCGAAAATAGTTTTCATGTAGCTTCCATTGGAATCGCAAATGATTTTCATCCATAAACAAAATTAATGGAATTCATCTGAACTTTACATAACATTTATGCGATCATGTTAATTTTATATGATTTTTCATATGAATTTCATTTGCCTCATAATATTCATGTGATTTGTGGTGAGATTTTCACCTATGTGATCACATGAAAGCTATGTGAATTTCACATGGTTTTCATCCATTAGATATGTGATAAATTTTTTGAGTGTAGTCTGTTTTTTTTTCTTTGATTTGTTTTCCGTTGATCTTGTTTTCCGTACTGAGTACCAATGCTACCGACTCCAGGTAGGCAGCTCCCACACCCTGGACCCTACCTATCGACCCATCAACTCATAGACCGGGGAGCAACGGCTTTACTTCCCTTCCGAAGGAAGGCGTGATCAAAGATTTTATGCCTCAGAAAACCCCGGCGGTGCCGACTGGGATTGAACCCAGGCCTTCTCGGGTGGAAGGCAATCACTCTTACTACTACACCACCGGTGCCACTGAGACTATATATATATATATATATAGACTATAGTCTGTTTATAACTAGGGGCAAGACAGCTCCTAATCATGAGCAATTTCTGAGTTGCTTTTGATGCACCTCGAGTAACTCACATTGCTCAGTGAGAAAGCTCACTGTCATCTGCTTCCTCACTTTTCGCATCACAGCAACATAATCACCCCTATTCTGTATTTCGTTTCAAACGAAATTCTCATACAAAAAAATATTTTTTTGTATGAGAATTTCGTTCGAAACGAAATACAGAATAGGGATGAATATGTTACATATATGTTATGTACACCTTCATGCGAAACCGAAAAGCTGCTGTCAATCAAAACAACAATAAAATGAAAAACATGTTTACAGAACTCAATAACTCAGCAAAACTCGGAGACACTTAAATTGATTGATTTGATTATTCTGCATCATCTCTGCTTAATAACCTTCGCTCAACCCTTACCAACTGTGAACGTGAACGGAGCCTATTGCTGCGTAGCTGCCTTACATTTACCAAGGGCGAATGCTTGTCCGGCTTGATATGGTGGAACTCGATCTGCCTGACCAAATACTCAAAATCCGGCAAATTACGTACCCCGCACGTGCTACAATACTCGTCGAAGCAATCCCGTTCCCATGGCAACGGCATGCAAACTGCCGCTGGATGAAACTGCGAACTGAGCTCTGAATTACCACTGTGCCGTTCTACTGACGGTGGACATCCATCCTTCCTCTTTTGGTGCTTCTGCAGTGCCTTCCGGATGATCGTTGTACGGTTCCGTCTCTGCGATACACCACCGTGATTTTGCTGCGGCCGTCAACGGCAGTCTCCTTTAAAGTAGAACATCACTACATACGTGTGTTCTTCGGTTTCTCGTTGGCTAAGTCCATAGCGGCCCAGGTGTGGAATTTATTGTTCATCTCCATCTATTTTATGAACAGCGCTGACGATATCGAGTGATTGGTAGCGATCTTGTGAACTTGATCACGTCTCATGACGATCGTGTACTTGGTCTTAACATGGCCGTGGGAATGCAAAGAGAAAGTTGACGAAGATAATCTGTCAGCTTGATTTGTTCTTCGTCTTCCTGACCGGTTTTCATTTCGATTTCGTCCGGTTGATCGTTGATGGGTTTGAAGTCCGGACGAGGATCATACTCACCGGAAACATTGGTAGCGGTTACTTCAACGTCCTCCTCCTCTTCGGTTTCGCAAGTGACGGCGGCTGCTCTGGCTGAACATTCCGCGGCGGTAATAGCAACAATCAATACGAAACTAACGATTTTAAATTGGCTCACTGCATGCGTGGGCGGCGAGCTACCAGTTACGCCAAATCGACGATCAAATGCATTGTTTACAAAAGCTGACACGTCCTTTCGAAAAAGTAATCAAGAAATGGTACTTTCCGGGAAAACGGTTTTCCGGGAAATTACGTACAATCGTTTTTTTAGTAAATCCACTTTTGCCAAAATTGAGTCGAATAATTCAACTCTCTTTTGGGTTGCTTTCAATGTCCGTGTAGATTAATCCATTCTTCATATATATATATACGTCATTTTTCAGTTTTGCAAAACAAACGAACATGAAGTCCGATTTGCCTGGTGAAAATTGTTTTATTTGCCGTAAGAAACCTGAAAATGTTCACAATACATCGGATTCCGATTGCCACGTATTCTGTAAACATTTTTGGTTCAAGGTAAGCGAACTATTAATTGTTAAAGTTGGGAGTTTAATTTCAAAATCCCCGAACCGAACACAGGAGGATGACCTGCGAAATGCTATCGTTTGTGGAATCTGTTGGGAAAAGGTGGACCAGTTTCATCAATTCTACCGAGATGTGCAGAAGCTCCACGGACAGCTTGAAGCGACAGCACTATCAGTTTTCATCAAACAAGAGGAAACCGAGATTGAAGAGGATCAACTTCAGGAAAATTGCATAGACCTGCCTGTGGATGAACTAAAACCGTTCGATATAGTGGACTGCAAGCTTGAGATTCCGGAAGAATGCAATGAACTCCTGAACGAGGAATCGAGCCAGGAGCCACGAAAGAAACGAAAGTACACGCGACGACCACCGGGTGAAAGGATTGCGAAACAGAAAAAGCCTCATTCGCGTAAACTGTTGACCCCTGAAGAACGGCAAGCGGAAGATGACTTTATCAAACAACACACCTTCTACTTCTGCGAGGAATGTAATATGGAATTTGAAAACTTCCGTGCTATCAAACGTCATCGAGTAAAAACGCATAATAAGGATACGGTTGTATGTTGCGGAACTCAGCACAGGACACGTCTTTTCTTGTATCAGCACGTGCAGAATGTGCTGAATCCGGAAGCGTTCAAGTGCGAAATTTGTAATGGTACTTTCAAGTATCAGAGCGGTTACCTTCGTCACAAGAAAGAGCATCACACTGACAGAAAGGAACCAATATTCAAATGCCATCGATGTGAGAAAAGCTTCACTAAAGAAGTGATATTGAAAAGCCACTTGATGGGACATGAAACACTGGACAAGCAAACGGTTAAATGTGAGGTATGTGGCAAGTGCTTCGGTCATAAACGGTTCCTGAAGAACCATGTCAAAACTGTTCACCAGAAGCCAACCGATTTCATATGTGAGATTTGTTCGAAGGGATTCTACCTACGATCGACGTTTCTGACGCATCGCAAAAAGCACGAGCTCACGACGGAGCAGCAACGGAAGCAGTGTCCCATTTGTAACAAGTGGTTGAGGCAAACCTCCTACTGGCGGCATGTGCGGCGCCACGAAGAGGAGGGCAAAGAGTACAAGTGTGAGGTATGTGCACACGTTTCGATCAATATGATGGCCCTGAAGGTGCACATGAATCGCAAGCACGTGCCGGATAGGAAGAGACATGTGTGTGAGTTGTGCGGTAAGGAGTACTCACGGCCAACTACTCTGCGGGAACACATCGCAAATGCCCATACAGGAGAGCCGCTCTACCATTGCCAGTACTGCGAGAAGAAGTTCTTCTCCCTTGCCACAATATGCACTCACCGGAAGAAGAAACACCCGCAGGAGTGGCAGGAGGAACAATTGGCCAAGTATGCCCCCGCCGACAGTAGGGAAGATGGATCAGGCGAAACGGTTTCTTGAATGCTTTGTAATGTAGGAAATAGTCTGTTTTGCGTAAATAATAAAAATCTCATGTCAATACTAACGTTTTATGAGTTTTCTTTCCTTCGATATCCGTTACAAGTTACGGTTCACTAAATTTATTTCACATAATTGTCCATGCTTTCGTTCAGACATTGCCTCCCAGCTTACAGCCAAAAGATTAGTATGATGCACTCCGCATTTATCCTCCACAGAACCAACACACTTCTCACAAACATTTCATGTAAAATTGAAGTAATCAGTATTTAGTGCTGCAATAATAATGAAACTATTTAGCCAACACGCCGAATTCGGCGATGAAAGTTTAAAAAACAACAGTGTCGGGCTAAAATATGATATTGTAAAACAGGAGAAAACAATAGCAAAATTCATCTCACACATTCTTCTTCGAAAAACATCACTCTTATACACTGTCCACTATTGATCATTGAGGTGCATCTTCGCGCTGTTCACGCTGCTGCGGCTGATGGTTTTCGTTCATGTTGTTGGTCGCGGGTCGATCAATCAGTGGGGCCTCCTCGGCCGCTGCCGGTACCACTGGAACCGGAGCGGGTGGGGGATTGTGATTGACCGCTCCCGGTGCGGGTGGTCTTCGAAAGTACAGTGCTGCTCCAAGAACCACCGTCAGGACCGTGATCAAGTAGAGATCCCAATTGGAGGCGATGTTCTCGTCCAGGTCCAACAGGACGCTGAAGGGGGACTATAAATAAAGGAATAAAATTGACCGCTTTTGTTTGAAAAACATAGAAAATCTTACCTCTCGGAGTGATTCCATCTTGAACAGCATCTGAAGCTTCATCAGGGCAAGGGTCACGGGAACCTTGGCATCAGCACTGGTCTCCGCTGCCAGATCGTAGCACCGTTTGGCCAGGTGAATGTCCTTCTTCATACCGAGACCCTGTTCGTGCATGTAGCCCAGATTGAACATGGCCTGAGCGTTGTGCTGCTGTTCCGAAGCCATTCTGCAAAGGAAAAAAAAATGATCAGTGCTGAATCCTGTTGGTCCCCTATCCATCAACTCACCGGTAATGTGAAGCAGCAGTTTCGAAATCCACATTCGTGCCCAGTCCATAGTAGTGGTAATCTCCCAGCTTGACCTGGGCAGCCGAGTAGCCTTGAGCGGCAGCCCGACCCCAGAACTGTAACGCCCGGATCAGCTCTTCTTCGCGGTTCTTGAACAAATTGATCTCCCCTCGATCGAGTAGGAAAGCCGCATTGCTCTGCGCTACCTCGTAGCCCAATTCCGACATCAAGGTGTACTGCATGAATGCTTCCTCGAACCGGTAGGAACGATAATCCTGATGAGCAGACATTAACCGCTCGGCCCACTTTCCTCGTTCGGCCACGTTCTTGAACAGCTCCACCGCCGTCGGACAGGATCGCATCATTCCCAGTCCAACGGCATGCATCTGACCCAGGTTGTAGAAAGCCAGCACATGACCCGACTGAGAGGCCAGATTGAAATACTTGTTAGCTAGCTTGAAATCCCTCTTGACGCCGATGCCACTGAAGTACATATTACCCAACTGAAGCTGTCCGTCTACCCACCCTTGGTCAGCTGCTTGGGTAAAGTATTTCAACGCCTTCACCGTATCCTTGGGCACTCCTTTGCCATGCAGGTACATAATTCCCAAACCACTCTGTCCCACCGGGTTGCCCAAATCGGCCGCCTTCTTAAAATACTTCAAAGCAGTTTCATTATCAGCTTTAATGTTATCGCTTCCCTCTAGGTAAATCTTCCCCAGAAAAGCCATCGCTACGGCATTTCCTGCATTCGCCGCTTGGCTAAAGTACTGCAGGGCCTTCTGATGATCCAGCGGAATGCCTCGGCCACCTTGATAATGTAGCTGACCCAGGCCAACCTGTGCCTGTACGTCTCCTTTGTCCGCCAACAGTTGGTAGTAATCGATCAAATCATTATCCAGTATTCCCGAACTAGGACCGGAATTTTCCACTTCATCCAGAAGCCTGATACGATGGACTGCCGCTCCCCCGGAAAACGTAACCTGATTAGCCACCTTTGTAGCTACCTTCCGGTAGAAATCCAGCGCCGTCTCGCAGCTATTCGGCACACCAACCCCGGACCAATACCGGTATCCCAGTGCCATCTGAGCCCACGAATTATCCCCCAGTGCCGCCATCGTGTAGTAAACCAACGCCTTCGCCTGACTCACATTGAACCCAATCCCAGTTGAGTACATAAATCCCAGTCCCATCTGAGCATCCGGCAGTCCACTCTCGGCCAGTTCCAAAAACGTCTTCTTCGCCGCCTCAGTATCCATATGCACCGGATGACCCAGCAACTGCGCCCAAGCCACGTGACTCCTCGCCAACGGATGACCCTTACCAGCCGCCTCCACCATCAGCTTGTGTCCCTGCAGTTTATCCACCTTGGTCCTATTCAGCACCACCATCGCCCTGTCATACGTTTCCTGAGCCTCCAACTCTTCCGGACTCAACACCCTAGCCGTCTCCCCAGCATCCTCCGGCGAGATCCGGTTGATCTCTTCGATCTCGCTCTCAATCTTCTGGATCATTCGCTCGTGACTATCCAGCAGCTCATTTAGCATCTCGGACATTTTTCGGCTTTCCTTATCCTGCGATAGATCCGGTGCCTTGACGATCTTGATCGCCGACCGCATGAAATGCAACTCATCCGACAGCGCCTCGAACTCCACCCTCTCGCTCTTCTTCTGTTCCGATTCCTCTAGCACAATCTCCTCCAGCAAGCCTTCCGCCGACTTTCTTTGGTTCGAACCATCCTTTGTCGACTCCTCCGGCTCATCCCCATCCCGCTTTCTGCTACTTCCTACGGAAGAACTCGTCTCCTCCGGTCCCTGAGGCGGTTCCACCTCGCTCCACACCTCTCCAAATAGGAGTAGTATCCCACAGAGTAGGAAAAATGTTTTCATCTTCAAATGTACTAATCTTTCGCCGATTTCCTTAGAAGCGACGTGTCCTGACGTCCATTGGAAAACAATGATCAGCACAAGTGCAGCTCCACAGGAACACGTACGGTTCACAAATTATTTGCTGCGAAGTATCCCCAACTGCCTTCGCTGCAGTTCGTTTCGATCAATTCGGTATTCTGTCGTTAATGGGTCGTTACTAAATCCAGTTTCTAATGAGATAGCGTTCCACAATTTTAACACTTTTTTTTTTCCTTTCAAGCCTGTTCTGGGGATTACAGGGGATCTTATTTACTATTTTGCACTGAGGTGGAAGAAAACACAATAAAATGACGTGTGATTTGAAAGGAGTGAATTTGACAGTTGGTGGGTATCGTTCCCGGGATTATTACTTAAAATTTGTCTGTGTACACTGATAAATTAAACTATTCTCATTTTGCTTAAAATTTAATCAATTTTACATTAAACTCAGTTTAGTCATATACTAATAAAATTCCAAATATTGTTTTTATGTGTCCCATACATGAATTTTTGCAATGTGATCAACAAATGATAGCTATGTGTCGGACACATACTTAAGATGTGTACACATAAAAGCTATGTGTAACCACACATACTATTCATTTGACCCATAAATTTCATGTGTGCTTCTGGGTGGATTCTGTTTATGTATAATCACATGAAAATCATGTGAAATTTTACATGGAAATTCGTCAATAAAAATGTGTGGAATTTTATTAGTGTATATGACTAAACTGAGTTTAATGTAAAATTGATTAAATTTCAAGCAAAATGAGAATACACATCAAAAAATGTAATATCGATCAATGTAATTCAAGCTAATGTATGAAATAATGATGTAATAGCAAAAAGCAGATACAATATTACATCGATGGATGTAATTTTGTTCGCAAAATCGATGTACATCGTACAACGTTATGTTACACAACCGATGGTTTGACCTGGTTGCATCAGTTTGGATTTAATAACAAACAACTTTTTTTTCTGTGTAGTTTAATATATCAAATGATTAAAAATTAATTATCTCTTGCAAAAAAAAATCATCTGATCAGGTGGTAAGTTATGCCGAAAGTTATGCCACGTATACACTTGTACACAGCAAAAAAAAATGTAATATCGATCAACGTAATTCAAGCTGATGTATGAAATAATGATGTAAGAGCAAAAAGCTGATACAATATTACATCAATGGATGTAATTTTGTTCGCAAAATCGATGTACATCGTACATCGTATATTACACAACCGATGGATTGACTTGGTTGCACCAGTTCCGATGTAATATTCAACCACTTTTTTTGCTGTGTATGACAAACTATAGACAATGGCGCAGTCGGTAGATTCTGTTGGAGTCGGTGAACCATTGTAAGCAATCGGTATCTGATGTACTCTCTCAACAAAGCCGAATCGATTTTCTCGCGCTCAATGGCATCGTTCGTTGCCTCTGGCACGATCGGATATCCAGCTGAGTAGAGGCAAGTGACATCCTTCATCTTTGGTACACCAGCATTCCGAAGTCCCGCTTCTCAATTCTTTTCCAATCATGCACCCGATCTTTCTTTTCCTTTACGCTTTTTTTCGACGGAACGAAAAGCAATCATCCGGTTTTCACTTTGCTACCAGTGAAATATAGGCTGTAGCGGAATGTTATACACTGAGAAATTTAGATGTTTTGTTATTGTTAAGTTATTTTTTTAACATGAAACTTATATCTACTACAAACGCCTGCTGTTGATGAGCTTATCAACGACAGGCAAACACACTCTGTGTATTGAAATTTCTGTAAATCTTTTCATACATGAATTCAATATTTATACAAATTTATTTGTCATAACCATCAACCAGTCAGCCATGTAGGTGTAATAGAGGTCAAAAAGGTATCAATTTTCCTCATTGGGTTCCAAATGCCGAGAATCCCTCCACGCATGCTATCACGGGTTATTAAATATATAGACGTAAACTTGAAGAACTACAATGGGGTAAACATTTGCTGCGTCGCGGCCATCGGTTTTCTCGTTCATTTACCGGCAGATTGCTTCTTCCGATGAAATGCCGAATATGTCGATAAATAATATAAACATTGCCATCTGTCACCTGGTGTGTCTCGAACTCTCTTTAACCAGTGATGCAAATCGATAACAAGGAGATTATAAATGTGCATCGATGGCAATCTTTATTGTTCTTTGTCAAAGTTCAAAGTTACGATGATATCAGTATTTAAATATTTATTGATGAATCTGCCGGTAAATGAATGAGAAGACCGATGGCCGCGACGCAGCAAATGTTTACCATTGTAGTTCTTCAAGTTTACGTCTATATATTTAATAACCCGTGATAGCATGCGTGGTGGGATTCTCGGCATTTGGAACCCAATGAGGAAAATTGATACCTTTTTGACCTCTATTACACCTACATGGCTGACTGGTTGATGGTTATGACAAATAAATATTGAATTCATGTATGAAAAGATTTACAAAAATTTCAATACACCACATACTAGAGTGTGTTTGCCTGTCGTTGATAAGCTCATCAACAGCAGCCGTTGACCCGAGAATTAGCAACCAACAACGAAATCAGTACACCCCAGATGGCATGGGATTGAAACTAGAAATCATGCCAATAAAAAATCACAAATAAAATGAGCAGTTGTGTATCGATATTTTGATTTTTCAACAGAAATCGATATTTTGATCTGGCAACACAATCGATATTTTAACATTGGTAACGATTGGTAGCAATATTTTGAGAAAGATCTTTATAAACGATTCACGATTAGACTTTTAGCATCTTTACAATTAGTCATGAAATGGTGACGATCGCTATCGATTTTTCTCATGAATGGCTTTGAAGATCGATGTATAGAAAATTAAAGAAAATTAACGAAATGGTTGGTCGGGTTACTATCATATGACTGCTGAAGAAATAATTTTAAATGTAAGTATCGATCAATAAAGATCGAAATCATTGAAAATTTAAAGTAAAGAATTGCCGACATTAATCTTTATTTCTTTATAAAAAACTTTGAAGAAGTATCACGAACAGTTGGTCGGGATTGTGTTTCTAGCGTGTTTTCGGGTATCTGAAGGTGTTTCTGGGTGTTTCTGCATATCGTCTTACCTGTAAAAACGTTGAGCGAAAATTATTGCTTACTGGCAACTTGAACATCCATATTTGTTTATAAACTAAAATTGATGATTCTTTTTTTCGACTAAGACCAATTTAAAACGTAAGTGCAGCTTTTCGAACTCTTTCAGGTACGAATTGATTATGGACTCCGAGCCGCACACAAGATCGTAAGCGGATCGGTGTCCATACAAAGGCCACCATCTGGCCGTAGTAGCATAGAGGTAACTCTAAGACCAAAATATCGAAAACCAGTAATATCGATCATCGTAATTCAAGCTTTGTATGAAATAATGATGTAATAGCAAAAAGCAGATACAATATTACATCAATGGATGTAATTTTGTTCCCAAAATCGATGTACATCGTACAATGTGATATTACACAACCGATGGATTGACCTCTGTGCAGCTGTTTGGATGTAATATTCAACAACTTTTTTTGCTGTGTAGGCTAGTCAAGTAGTGAGCCAATTTAAAATCGTTAGTTGCCACCGGTTGGTAGTAGTTTTGTCAGTGGTCGTTTACCATATTTGATTCCGTAAAGCTTCACCAACCAACCGACATTCAGTTCCATGATTCGTTCCTCATCGTATGACATCGATAAATTCGCCTTCGATGATCACTCGGACCATGGTCGGAGGTAGCATCTTCACCGGTGTTTGCTTTCCTACCATCGACAGCGCCCCAGCTTTTACAGGTGTTCTATGGCCGGCACTGATTTTCGCCAGAGACATCATACTTCTCTCCATTTCAAGAGCCACATGTGAAAAGGGCATAGAATTTTTTTTTTCTTTGTTAGAGAGATTTTTAGCCATAGGCTAGTTCATCTCTTAAAGGGCATAGAAGCTTTTTGTAAACAAACCTTTGTAGGCCCTCTTCTTGCCAACCGAGGGTCGCCCACGCAAACTAATAACATCATCGGGAAGGGAAAAGCTTCCCCTATCCGGTGATGTTGATGGTTTGCGTTGGTGTCATATGCGTGGCGAGAAAAGGGCATAAGAAGGTTTGTTTACAAAAAGCTTGTATGCTCTTTTCACATGTTGTTCTTGATTTGTCCGATCATTGGACTGTCTGACCGTGTGGACATATTAAACCCCACGTCCACCAGCGAAGTCTGATTCCGGTTGAACCTTCCACTAGAACGCTGGCGCCGATTCTTTGACTGAGTCGATCGAGGAGTCAATGGCTTTCGGGAGAAACTCCTCCCGAAAGCGTTCATCAGAATCTGAAGAGCATCTGGACCAGTTTCCTCTGATGATGCACGCTCGCCTCGTCTACTTACCACCGTCACCTGTGGTTCATCCGAGTCCTCATCATACTCCAATCCAGTAGAAGTTATTGTCCTGTCGCTCGAAGCATCGATACGGAGGGCGAGGCCGTTGCTTACGAGGTTGCTTATTAGGTTCAGTGTAATCCTTTTCCGAGAGAATTTGGGAGCAACTGCTGGATTACACTTCGAAACAAACATGCGAACTGTCAAATTCACCGGGTTGCCAAACATACCATTATACACACAAAAAAAATCAGTCTGACGACACTCTCGGCACTGCCGGCACACGTGAGGAACACTGACAAAATAAGTGTGTAGAGTAACCATCCCTTGTGTAAATCAACAAAATCAATGCGACACATTTGCAGGATTACACACTTTAGTTTCCAGATCGGTCAAAACTGAACATACCGAAAAATGTGTAAACTGTGCTGGGAGCGAGGCTGGGAGTGACAAGTTAACAAATGGACAACAGCGACATGAGTCCGATTGACTTTGTCCATTTGTCAACTTGTCACTCTCAACATAGGTTACCCATTTTTGGGTTGGTTCAGTTTTGATCGATCTGGGTAGATTATACCCAAATTTGGGTAGTTTTGAAATAGCGTGCACATCAACGATCTGCGGTCGTTCACAGAAAAAAAAGTTGTTGAATATTACATCCAAACTACTGCAACCAGGTTAATCCATCGGTTGTGTAACATAACGTTGTACGATGTACATCGATTTTGCGAACAAAATTACATCCATTGATGTAATTGACTTCTTGTCGCAAGATTTCACCAATACAACGTTGCTACTGTAGCCGTGTAAAATCGATTTGTTTATTATTTTCAACCACGAAATCAGCTGTCAAAGTGTTCGACCTGACAGCGGTTTGTTTTTTTATTTTCAACCAGTAAAACGCTTGTATTAGTGAAACTGCTGACTAATACCAACAATCAATACGAAACTAACGATTTTAAATTGGCTCACCACTTTAGTAGCCTATTGGTCCCAAGCAAACGATTAACGTACCCTATTCTAGTTGAAATTCTATTACTACACTATGTTTGTTTTGATTCGCTATGAAAGTTTGACAGATAACATCAGGGGTGTGTGGATTCATGCAGAACATGCAGGGGTGAGTGAAATAGCTTGGGACTGCTTGGGACCGTTGTTCTGGTACTAAGTGAGCCAAAAATAATAATGATTTTCTTCGGGACCTACTAGTCTTAGAGTTACCTCTATGCTAATACCATAGAGGTAACTCTAAGACCACTGGGTCCCGAAGAAAATCATTATTATTTTTGGCTCACTCAGTACCAGAACAACGGTCCCAAGCAGTCCCAAGCTATTTCACTCACCCCTGCATGTTCTGCATGAATCCACACACCCCTGATGTTATCTGTCAAACTTTCATAGCGAATCAAAACAAACATAGTGTAGTAATAGAATTTCAACTAGAATAGGGTACGTTAATCGTTTGCTTGGGACCAATAGGTTACTAAAGTGGTGAGCCAATTTAAAATCGTTAGTTTCGTATTGATTGTTGCTAATACTAACCGTGGTAGAGAACTCTATATTGTATCTGATTTTTGCTATTACATCATTATTATTTCATACATCAGCTTGAATTACATTGATCGATATTACATTTTTTTTTGCTGTGTTGGAGAACCCGAATAAAAATACCATACCCGAACCATAACCAAAATGATTGAACTATTCCACAAACGGTTTGGATGATATCCTGAACACGTCGTTAAGCAAAATAACCATACACATTTTATTAGGGAATTGCACCTTATTCAGGCTTCCTTTCGAGCTCTGTACAGAACTTTAACCGTCATTTCAAAAACTCAACTTGTTTCATTTTCCCACTTGTTCCCCACTATCGGAAATGTCGCGTCGCAGCAGCAGCGGCGCTTGTGAACGGCTCGTCGCGCGATCGGTCGTTGACATCCGATCAACTTCCGTCCAGTCCTGTCAGGCAACCATCTTTCTTTTCTGATTCGTGCTGTGCAAGAAGTAAGTGCCGTGGTTCAAGTTTTCCGTGCAAATTTCGCGATTTTCCGTCGTTGGCCGGCGTTTTTCCACCGCCAGCATGTCGGTTGATGGTGGCACCGTGGCCAGATACCCCGGGGAATGTTGGGTGGCAGTGAAAATCGAGTTGTTATTGGGGTTGATGTTTTCGTGTCGGGGATGAAGTCGTACGTGTGTGTCCAGAGACGGGAGAAACAAATCGGTGAAACAGTTTGTGCTACGGGGCCACCACATCAACATCGCGCCAGACCATGCGGTGGTTTCGGTCTTGAAATTTGCACCGGACATGCGATAGATTTATTGTGTGGAGCTATGGATCTAACTGTTGTTTTCCGTTGTAGACGCCCTCATGATGCAGTTGCATATTCGTGGACTTAACACTCACGTCCTGGACGTTGAGCCCCAGGAAACTATCTGCGAGATCAAGGTTAGTATACTGGTGGTTATTTTAGAACTTCATAAAACGGTGGAAATGTCTCGGAAGGGATCTGAATACTGTGCAGTGGACAGCAGAATCAAGCCTATCTCCTTGGCTTAGATTCCCTAGAACCGCTGCTAGATTATTATCTGATTGTTTGACCTGTCGCTTGTGCCCAGTGGAAGCGACGGGGTTTATTAAATCAGGACAAAAGATGTTTCATGAGAAAACCTGGTGAAAAATGATGCAAGAAATTTACCAAGCCAACGAATCCAATCTCCACCGGTAGATCGTTCGGTTTAAGCTTCTTTGCTAAAGTAAAAGAGGTGAGAATTCCCAACTCGTTCCTCTCGTCGTTCGGTGAAAGGAAGGACTTAAATTGTCACGACAGGCTCCTTGTAGAATTGCCATTTTCTGCGGAGAAAGCAAATGGAAGTATGATAGATGAATAGGCAATTACATTTGGCCCGATGCGTGCCCAGTTCAATGGTACAGTGTCTCTAAGGTAATTGCTAGAGAAAATTCTAGCCACTATGACCCGCCTGAGCTCCAAATGCTTGGAACGGGCGGGGTTAAATGGTCTAGTACAAATGAAATCCGTAAGAGAAAGCAACTTGGCCAATTAAGAAGGCAATTACATTTGGCCCGATGCGTGCCCAGCTCATTGGTACAGTGTCTCTAAAGTAATTGCTAGAGAAATTCTAGCCACTATGACTCGCCTGAGCTCCAAATGCTTGGAACGGGCGGGGTTCAATGGTCTAGTACAAACGTTATCCATTACGAAAAAAAATTAACTGATAATTTAGAAAGCAACTACATTTGGCCCGATGCGTACCCGACCAATTCCATGGTACAGTGTCTCTAAGGTAATTGCTAGAGAAAATTCTAACCACTATGACTCGCCCGAGCTCCAAACGCTTGGAACGGGCGGGGTTTGTTCGGTTAGTACAAATGAAATTCGTAAAAATTGACAACCAATTTCGCAGAGCTCGGGGAAAGAAACTTGCTCCACCAATGTTGCATGCTTTCTTACTGATGCTTTGCCAGATTGATTGTCGGAACTCGAGACCTTCGTTTATCAACTCAATTGGAAACGACAGGGAGCGTACGTTCTAAACAAATTTACGATCATTAATGTCATTTGAAAATACTGCAGATTCCAGCGGATGTCATCTGTTACCTGGATGGCAATCCTCCTAAATCAAACATTCTGCTAGATTAAAATCGAACCCTGAGAATCGTGTAACTTCACTGCCCCCAAAGCAATGAACTGCACGAGGTTATGTGTTCGAACATCCCCCCACCTTTCGATTCTGAAGAAACCTTCTGAGACCATTTCCACCCAAAAGCGCAGATTCCAGCGGAACTAACATCCACTACCAGATGTCTGCTTCCTCCTAAACAGTCTGCTAGAGTAACGAGCTCAAAATGGAACAATGAGACTTGAATCGCTCTTGGATTGGTAACGATTCGAGGTGCTTGGTTCCCGACAATTATCTTTCATCATGTCCAAAAAAGAAAGCATCACATTCATCTAACACAAAACCATTTTCCCCACCGTAGGCCCGCGTTGCCGCGCTCGAGAATGTCGAGGACGCCGCCCATCTGGTGCTCTCCTGCGAGGGTGCCATCCTGGCCACCGATGCCCTGGTGTCGGCCCTCTCATCCGCCGAGCTGGACCTGACCATCCCACTGCTGGGAGGTAAGGTGCACGGTTCCCTCGCCCGTGCCGGTAAGGTCAAGGGTCAGACCCCCAAGGTCGAAAGGAAGGAAAAGAAGAAGAAGAAGACCGGCCGTGCCAAGCGTCGCATCCAGTACAACCGCAACTTCGCCAACGTGGTGCAAGCCTTCGGACGTCGTCGTGGACCAAATGCCAACTCGACGTAAGCTGGTGATGCGTGGGAAGGGATAAGGAGAAACTTGAGGTTTGATTGAGTGCGGTTGATGCGTGTGTAAAGTTGGGCTTTGCTTTCTCTGCTGTGAAAGATGTCACCACGACCATCCGCAGGAAAATAAACGGAAATCCTTTATTATGTATAAGACGAAACTGGTTTGGTGTTGTTTCTGGCCCGAATGATGACAGCCTTTCTCGGAGGTGGTTCGCAGAAGGTAAGTAAAGTACCCGTAAACCGGGGGCAAATTGTTCACTACGAAAAAAGACATTGACCAACTAAACTGGTATTAAAATCAGTAGCTGAAGGAACTACGTGGACCCGTCCTGGGCAATAATGAACAGGCCGAGACTTAACGAACAAAAGAATGTTTTATTAAAGCAAACTTGAATTGCTCACATCGAGCTCTTGAATTGGAATGACAGCGAAAATGAACATGAAAATCGTTACTTTTTACCTTTATATGACTCCCTAATGGTCTAGTGAACCACGGAAAACAGCTTCTATGTCTAGGTCTGTTTATCTTCGGGGATGGTCTTATCAATTTCGTAGAAGATTAATCCTCTGGACCGCCAAAGTAGGTTCAGGTGATTACCTATAAAGAGTTCAAGAATAGGTGGCAGAGAACTTCAAAATTTCGTTGAACCGGATTGACCACCTTGAGTCAGTTCCAAATCAAAACCCGAGTTTATCCACCTAATGATGCGATCTTACCTTTACTGCTGAATCAAAGACTCAATAGAGGGCTGCCCATAAACTACGTAGACAGTTTTTGAGCGATTTTAATTACACACACTTATTCTGCGAGTCGTGCTTGATTTGCACGAAGATCCAAATGATTGAACTATTCCACAAATGGTTTGGATTAAGCAAAATAACCACACAAATTCTATTAGGGTAGTGACAGAGAGTCACACGACTCACAGAATAGGGGTGACCAGTGAACCGGGAATTCCGGGAAATATACATCAACCCATTGTTGGCCAAAATCTACCACCAGCATCAATATCAACCAAGATTAAAATTATCGAAAATCTTAGATTAGAAGATATGTTAAATTCTAGAACAGGCCTGCCCAACTTTTCTAAACTCACTTTTTCAAATGGCTGTATCCATGTTCAATGCACTTATTTCTAGCTACATTGTGTTTATTTCTCATTTATTCTGAGCTAAAATTCATAATGATGGGTGACGACATTATCCTCCTGATCACTCACAAAACCATAAAGGCACTACGTAGAAAGATGAGCGCTGCCACAAGGGCAGTCTCCCTGTGGACATCACTGACTGGCTTCCAACTCTCAGCCGAAAAATGCACACCAGTGTACATCTGCTCTCACCATCATGCCGTCCTTAACACTCCCGTCTGTATCAATGTTACAGCTATTCCCATCAGGAGGTCAGCCCGTATCCTCGGAGTTCGAATTGACCGATATTTGACCTTTTCTGCCCACTTCGATGAAATCAAGGGCTTCGAGTTGTTAGAGCAATTTTGGAATCACGTCTCCTTTATGGAATCGAAGTTACCTGTCTCGCTCGCGATCAACTTATTAGACAAAACTAGTCTCTACATACCATCAAGCAATTGCAGCTTGCGTCGAAAGTGGAGTACTACATGGTACTACCATAGAGGTAACTCTAAGACCACTGGGTCCCGAAGAAAATCATTATTATTTTTGGCTCACTCAGTACCAGAACAACGGTCCCAAACAGTCCCAAGCTATTTCACTCACCCCTGCATGTTCTGCATGAATCCACACACCCCTGATGTTATCTATCAAACTTTCATAGCGAATCAAAACAAACATAGTGTAGTAATAGAATTTCAACTAGAATAGGGTACGTTAATCGTTTGCTTGGGACCAATAGGCTACTAAAGTGGTGAGCCAATTTAAAATCGTTAGTTTCGTATTGATTGTTGGTAGTACTGCGTGGCGCGCATCGTCAATTCCCTTGCGTGTATATGTACGGGAGGAAATTCACGTTTATTACTGATAATGAGCCATTGAAACAAATTTTCTCCAATTCGAAAGGTTGAACAATGCAACATTATGCGACATTTTTGCAATCATTCGATTTCGATATTCAGTTCCGACCTACCAGCATAGAGGTAACTCTAAGACCACTGGGTCCCGAAGAAAATCATCATTATTTTTGGCTCACTCAGTACCAGAACAACGGTCCCAAGCAGTCCCAAGCTATTTCACTCACCCCTGCATGTTCTGCATGAATCCACACACCCCTGATGTTATCTGTCAAACTTTCATAGCGAATCAAAACAAACATAGTGTAGTAATAGAATTTCAACTAGAATAGGGTACGTTAATCGTTTGCTTGGGACCAATAGGCTACTAAAGTGGTGAGCCAATTTAAAATCGTTAGTTTCGTATTGATTGTTGCTACCAGCCAGCATTGTGATGCGTTCTCGCAGCTTCCATCAACGAAAGAGAGAGAGTTGATGAAGAGAATCGATCAATGTAGATTGGTCTATTTGAAAAATGACGCAAGATTTTTCAAGCACAATAACCTGAAAATTGAAAGTGATCGACTCCGCATCGCTCAGCATTTAAGCGAAGACAAAATATCAAGAAGATTGGCAACTTTGCCAGAATCCGAGCGACAGACACAGTAGCGCCAACAATCAATACGAAACTAACGATTTTAAATTGGCTCACCACTTTAGTAGCCTATTGGTCCCAAGCAAACGATTAACGTACCCTATTCTAGTTGAAATTCTATTACTACACTATGTTTGTTTTGATTCGCTATGAAAGTTTGACAGATAACATCAGGGGTGTGTGGATTTATGCAGAACATGCAGGGGTGAGTGAAATAGCTTGGGACTGCTTGGGACCGTTGTTCTGGTACTGAGTGAGCCAAAAATAATAATGATTTTCTTCGGGACCTACTAGTCTTAGAGTTACCTCTATGGTAGCGCTGTGCTCGAGCGAAGGTGGAAGCAACGGATAGAAAAATGAGCAAATGCACAAACCTTTCTTCTGAGGATGGAACCTTTACCAGTCTTCTTAAAACTTTGTCTTCGATTTAAGATACTTAAGTTATTGTTTTACCCAAAATGGCATATTTTTTAACTTAAAAAAAAAATCAAACTCAGAGAATTTTGTTTAACAAAATGAGTAGACACTCTGCAATGGCAATATGTATTTTTGGTAAAATGATAATTAATGAATAAATAACAACGAAAGTAGGGGAAATGTTGGCTTCGGCAATACCTTAACCTATTCTCGCACACTAACTTTAGATTACTGGAGTCAGTAAAATTTTACTGGGTTTTTGAATTGCGGATCGCCCAGTTATCATCGCAGCAAAAATTTGCATTACCGAACTGTCCGTAAAGTCAATCTGTCAAAAGTAACTGTTGATTCAGTAATTGGTTCGAGTTGCGTATACTGGAAAACCCAGTTTTTTTTTGTTTTTTTTTTTTGCTGCAATTTAACTGACAAGACAGTTATTTTGTTCATTCTTGTACCGTGTTACCCAGTTATATTAAAAGTTTTGTCAGGAGAAAAAAAAAAACTATTTAATTTAATAATAATAAGATACCCGGGAGGATAATTATTTATTGCATTTATTTTGCATTGCATTTAATATTGCATTTCATTTTTCTCAAATTTTCAGGATACTGATAAGAAAAAACAACAACCATAAAATCAATCCAAACTACGGAGAAACTTTTCACTCGTAGTTGTTATATTTCCAACCCCCATAAATACTGACTTGAAGGTTGCAAAGAATTGCTGACAAATTCCTATTCAAAGAAATAGTGACGTTCTTCCAGAAGATAATTCCATCGGTATTGCCTTCAGAAAATTTTCCACGGACGTAATGTGTAGGAGTTTCATGGTTTAATGTTGGTATTGGGTCATCCATCTAATAGAATCGAAAATAATTGGTCACAAGCCATAGCCAAATTATGCACTATACGTACTTGAATACATTCAACGATTCCGTCTTTCTGTCGTTCATGTTTTCTTGCAAATTTCCACAAAACTGCGCGATAAAACACTTGCTGCCGGATTTTACTAAAGCTAAATGGCGGCGGGAATAAAATTGACAGGTTAGAGTTTTACAATTCGTGGTCAGTAAAACAAGGTGGCTATTTTTCTGATCAGTCGGTAAAAAAATAAGACTTCTTTGTGCACAGTAATTATTTTTACTGACTTTTCGTGAAATCTCAAAAATTTGGGAATTAACGACTTTCTCAGTAAATATATATTCTGTGTACAGTATTTTGCCTCAAACGATACCGAAGTTCAGTTTGTGTTTTACAGAACGTCGGTTATTCACCAGATTTAAACTGAATTTTCAGCAAATCTTTCGTTTTACCGTGCAAGCCCAGTACAAAAAAATACCGAACAACTAAATGCTTGATTAGTGTGCGTCAAGGGGTAAACAAAGTACTAGAGCACTCACATTTGGCCAATAGATGCTCTGAAACACAATGTATCCACATGACAAAATTGAGCTCTCAAGGACGTTGTTTACCCCCTGACAATAATAGGTTAAGGTATTGCCAAAGCCGTCATTTACCCTATGTCGCGCAATTTAATAGTACACATTTTGTTCACGTTTCCCCAAATTATTTGATATAAACTCCCTTATTCTGCGAGTTACGTGACCGGTGAGGTGAGAATTGTCACCACGTGTAAGGTGACTCTCCATGCAAATCAAATGGAGAGTCACCTCACCGATGAAAGAGAGTCACGTGACTCGCAGAATAGAAAGGAAAGTGTTTTATATTGTTTCTAGTTTCGTCTATATAAGAGTGAATTATCCACTTCATTCGAGCAGTTAAAATGACGTTTTCTACCACTCAAGCTTTGAAATAAATCATTATTTTGAGATTTTTTTTTTTTCATTATTTTGAGATTTTGAGAGAAAAGTCGCCAACATTTGTGCGTTTCATAAAAAAATAGAAATTAGTTGGTTCAGTTTTGTGAAATCGCTGGTAGAAAGTCTCGTCAAAACTGCTTGACAAAGTGGTCAATTGCGGCAAATCCCGCCCGTATACACCTTTATATAAACGTACTACGTCGTGTCAAATAAATAAAAAAGCAGAATGTGTGATACTTTCACCACCGACAAACCGGCATTAATGACCATAGCAAAAACAATAAAATTTCTGACCAAAGCACACTACTGACATATATTTAGATAAGCCATGAACCCGCATGCAAAAGTTATGAATTGGTTCGTATCTGATCTATTCTGGACAAATTATTTTTATCTAGATCAAAAACTCCTATGGTTTTGACAGTTCGGATCACTGCACATATAAATCGGCCATTTACGATTTTCGGCCATAAGTTAGAATGAAGTGTCATGTCGGTTTGTCGGTGCTTTCACTAGTTAGTCTCCCATGAAGACATACACAGGGCTATTCTGCGCGGCGTGTGAGGTGAAGTGACAATTGTCACCTCGGGTGAGTTGACTCTCCATTTGATTTGCACGGAGAGTCACCTCACCCGAGGTGACAATTGTCACTTCACAAGTGAGAGCTTGTCACCTCACCTCACACGCCGCGCAGAATAGGCCTAACAGCATTAGATTAAGCCCTTCCATATCTTCGGCAAGGTGTCAAAAGTGACCAACGGGTGGTAAATAGCCTATAGGTATGTATTTTATATCGATTCAAGCTGAAAATCACCCGATAATGAGAAGACAAGATTTTTGTAGATTCTACGAATTCATGACATTAACTTTATTAGCTATACAATTATTACATGAACATGACGTCTTTGTAACTGCAATTCGATGGCTTTTCCATCATGCTAAATTATACACGACCGGTGAGATCAACTCAGAAAGAGAGGCACTTTTACTCAGATTAAAGAGAATTTTCTAAAAACGTATGTTACTGAGTGACCTGCGTTTTTAGAAATATCTCGTTTATCCGAATAAAATGACTCTGTCTCTCTGAGTTGGTCCCATCGGCCGTGTATGGCGAACCCTCGTTCCTGACTTATACATGCATTCGGAAATGTCGTAATGGTAAATTTAACCTACATTGAGTGTCTTCATCGAATTATATATCACTAGCGGATTACCCAGACCCTCGTTCAGTCGCTCTATGTTTCGGTCAGTTGGGAAACAAACCGACTTAAATCCAAGATCTTTTCGCCTCTAAACAGTTGTGAACCGGATGAAATATTTACACACAACACAACCCTTCTACTTTCGGTAACCAATGAAGGTCAAACATAAGTGAGTACCGTAAAGAACAATAAGCGTACATGGAACGCACGTTCCATCACTTTCCGAACCGCTGCTCGCATTTGGCAAATCTGTACAAACAGCTAAGGAAATGACTAACTTTCACATCTCCCACACTAGACGCTTCCAGCGGTAGGAATTCCGTCAGCCGAATCTGCCACGGAAGCATCCCATAGGTGGAGCAAATCGAGCCAAAATAGACGGCCAACTCTGGATCCGGGATGTGATGGAACTGATTCTGCAGTCTTTGTTCGACCAGTTCGACGGTGATGGCCGATGGGGAGGATACGGAACCGGTCCGAATTTGATTGCTGATTGTCCTTGCGGTCGCGGCCAGCTGGCGTTTACCATCGTCCGGAGAGAAGAAACTAACCACTACCCGTCGTCGGTAGCCATTCCGCGGGGGCAGCAAACCACTGGCCGTTTTCAACTGGGTTGTCCATACTATCTGCTCGCTTTCGCCCCGAGGCTGCTGGCTAACGTAGTTTAACATTTCATGGTGGTTTTGCTTCAATGTTCCTAAAAATCAAATTTCAAGCTATAAATTACAATAATTAATCACAAGTTCTATTTAGGCCACTTCAATTGAACACAGTGACACGTGATAGTGAAGAATGGGAAAAGATGCGATAAGAGAGCAACACAAAAATAACAAACTATCGCCCCCTTCTTACCTCGATGATCGTAGAAGCTTACGTGTCCAACACCGGCCGCCATGGACCAGAAGATGAACTTGGCCAACTGTTTGTATTCCGGTTCCTCCGGACCCAGTATCACAACCAGATGCGAAGGTATCTTTTCCAATCCCCGTACGTGGTACTCAATTGCATCATTCTCGCAGCGCAGTTGAGTGGAGTTCCGACATCCTACTGGAGTCGAATTCTGTGGTTCATTTAGGAAAATCTTCCGCTGATAGGTGCTGAGCTTCCATCGAATCCAGCTGCACAGCAGAAGCAACTGTTGAAGGATGCTGTAGAGCAGATGTACCAACGATAGAACAAGTCTCGCCGGTTGATTGCTGCTGGGTTGCACTTTTGTCGACATGATGGATGTTTGTTTTGCGCTGGCACCGTAGGACTGTTAAATCGAACTCCGGCTTTGTATTGGTACTTTGGGTCAAAAGCAATCCATAGTTGGAAGAGTTTTACTTGCAATCACTTTGGTAAGGACAGATTTTGCATCGAGTTTCCTCCGACGACGATTTTGGTTGAAAATGGACTTTTTCTGCCCTTTCGTTTACGAAAACGTCACCGCTGCTGACAAGGTGCAATTGCTGTCAAAATCAGAGACCGAGACAGATTAAAAAAAATATATGAGCAGAGTTGCCAAAACACTTAAAATTAAAACATACACATTAATAGTACACTCAGAAAAAAATTAAACTAAGACCTAACGGGGCTAAGGCTATCGTAATAAAATTGTTATGGTTATTTTGATCAACGACGTGTTCGGGGTATCATCCAAACCATTTGTGGAATAGTTCTATTATTTGGGTTATCGTTCGTTTATGGTAATTTTTTATTAGGGCAACCGATAGAAACTAACGATTTTAAATTGGCTCACTACTTGACTATCCTATTGCTCCCAAAAAAATCGATTAACATATCCCATTCTAGTCGAAATGCTACACGCTATTTCAAAACTACCCAAATTTGGGTACAATCCACTCAGATCAGTAAAAACTGAACCTACCCAAAAATGGGTAAACTGTGTTGGGAGAGAAAAGTGACAAATTAACAACATTGACATGAATCCGATCGACGTTGTTCATTTGTCAACTTGTCACTCCCAACACAGTTTACCCATTTTTGGGTAGGTTCAGTTTTGACCGATCTGGGTGGATTCTACCCAAATTTGGGTAGTTTGAAATAGCGTGTAGACTACACTATGTTTTTTTGATTAGCTTAGAGTCGGTGTATAATGAGTCACGCCAAGAGTGAAGCCAAGTCTACCTATTGAACTGTCAAACCGGCTACCTAAGTAAACAAGCATTACGATGCTATGAAAGGTCCACGAAAGGTATTGCAATTAAATATTAAATATAAACGAAGAAATGATCATATACACGCAGTGAGCATTACATTTGTCATGCGATACGTTTTGTAATGATCAGTAATGACAATTTCTACTATTTTTCTTTAAGATAATTCGACAAAATCACTGATATAATGATTTACTACAGCCGTTAATTTTTTTCCTCGCTAGAAGTCATTTGAAGTTGATGCAGAAGTCCTCTGTTGCCAAGTTAAAAGAAAGGGAATCTTTCGAAAACCGTGATGCGAGTTCAACTGTTTTTCTCTTGGCGTGACTCATTATACACCGACTCTAGGTAAAACTATATTGCTATATTTTTTCCTCGATTTTTTCTTCTCAAACCCTGGTCGGTGGCAATAGTTTCAACGTCCCAGGTTTCAACTATATTAAGGGCAAAATTTGCAATCAATTTGTGGGACCGTGCTTAGGCTGCTGCTGGTTAGAACCTCAATAGAATTGACAATTAGAAACAGTTCCGTTCCGTATGTCTCCTGGTATGTCTTTTTTTTTGCAGGACATCTTTATATTCTTAAGTAGGGGAATTTACGTATTCTCGTCAATCTAAGCAGCGTCCGAACTTCTATTAGCGATTTCTCAGCGTCACACACATATATGACAGGTTTGTTTGTTGACATTTATCTGCTGCTTGCTGTTCTACCAATTCCAATCGCCAGAATTGATCAAAACGGGTTGAACATGTTTTTACAACGCTCCAAACTTCTCAGGTGAGTGTGACTATAGTTTATATATTGTCGGCAGTCTCTTTTTCTTCGGCACCCTTTCCATTTGAACTGAGTGTTAACCAGCTGTTCTATTATCGGCAACTCGAAATCAGCCGTATTTTGTAGTGTGTATATTTCATTTAAAGAAAAATATGGCGGAACAGGATTGCACAGTAATAAAAATGTAATCAGATTGAAGCTGAAAAGGTAAGGAATCGGCTTAATACATTCAGCGAAGAGTTTTGATGGGAAAATACAGTGAAATTAACGTTTCAATTTCGGTTGCCGAAAACAGTCAATGGGTGCCGAAGCCATAATTTACCCTAACTGTTCCTCCTGATGCTGCTGCTTTCGTGGATTCTAACCGGGTAAGTAGTTTTCGTCTTCTTGGGATTGGAGGTTTTCCAGATCCAGAATGTTTCTCTTTACCAACAGGACGGTACGACAGTTTTTTCTATTATTTTTTTTTTCAAAACAACAAAATAACAATCCGAATGTAAACATTATTTGCCGTGGAGCTCACAGTGGTGTCAGAATTGATTAAAACATTTTTTTATCATGGGTGTTTGTGGGTGTTTAAAATGTGTTTCTGTGGGTGTTAGCACAAAGTGGCAGAGTGACTTATCCCCTGGTAACCACACACACTATTTATTTGACTCATAAATTTCATGTGTGCTTCTGGGTCCTGGCATTTACTTTTGCTGATATCTCTGCAAAATATCTGTTTGTTAGCTGATATCTCAGCAAAATGTTATTTGTTCCCGCATAAACAATAACCATTAGAGGAGCCTAACCACCAATTCGGGATATCATCTCAACTTTATGTGGTATGGTCGTACCATCTATGAAATTGTTAGTGTATGGTACCCGTTTATTAGGGTTAGCTGAGTCTCGGCAATCCAGCTTTCCATGCTCGGTAATGGCGGCCTGTTTGTATGAATAAATGTATCCTTCACTGTGCTTTTTGACACTAACTGGAGGGCGTATTTTGTTTCATTTTCTTCTGTTCCTGGGAGAGAGAAAAGGAGGGGTCAAAATTCGAACCTCCAGATAGCACAGGGAAGGATACATTTATTCATACAAACAGGCCGCCATTACTGAGAATGGAAAGCTGGATTGTTTTACTGAATCTCAGCAAAATAAATTGCAGAACTACTCGGCTGTTGGAATCTCGGCGAAAAAATTTAAGTGTGTATATGTTTGAATTAAAGTCAAAAGCATGTTTATTTAAACAATATAGAATTTTGGTAAAGGATTTTTAGCGTGTCCTCTGCCTTTTTTTCCTTCTTGTTTACATTCGGAAAAAATTGCCCCAGCTTTGCCGATCAACTGAAAACGGCCCGCAACAAAACCAAAGTCATGGATCCGGAAACCCACCTAGGTAAGTGTCTTAAGGGGGATTTCCGGTTCAATTGACCTAAACTTTGGATTTTTTTCCAGGGAACTGGTAAGAGTTAGAGACCTGAGTTTTTTGTCAAATCTTTATTCATTCTTGCTTTACAACTGGGAATTTTTTCAAGTCCAAAAATCCAATATGGCGTCCAATATGGCGGCTGCCCGGTGGGTACTTCCCAAAACTGCGAGCAGCCTAGAGGTCGCAAATCGTCACCTAGAAAGAAAATCGGCTCAGTTTCTTGAAGAGTTTAGTTCAGAGAATGGAATGAACTAGAATCTTTGAAAAATCTCAAAATTTGACAAAATGGCGGTAACTAGGTAAATGACTTTTCAAAGATTCTAGTTCATTCCATTCTCTGAACTAAACTCTTCAAGAAACTGAGCCGATTTTCTTTCTAGGTGACGATTTGCGACCTCTAGGCTGCTCGCAGTTTTGGGAAGTACCCGCCGGGCAGCCGCCATTTTGGATTTTTGGACCTGAAAAAAATCCCAGTTGTAGAGCAAGAATGAATAAAGATTTGCCAAAAAACTCAGGTATCTAACTCTTACCAGTTCCCTGGAAAAAAAAAAATCCAAAGTTTAGGTCAATTGAACCGGAAATCCCCCTTAACAAAGTTCAAGATAAAACAGGAGGAACCCCACAGTACCGACGTCACTCTGTCGTTTCTGATGCCGATCCCTGTATCATCCTCCTCCACAACTGACGTCGAAAGAAAAACGAAAACCGAAATGGATTTTGAGTCTCTTCCGGATACTCCAGCCCCCACCCCTCCTCCAACACCGAACGTAGAAAGAGGCCGGTATGAGGACCAGCGTTAGAAACGACAAAACGACGCTAATATCACAAAGTTTCACTGGTTTTACCGAACTGGACATTGCGGACACTCACACGGAACCAAATTTAGTTCATTTAAATCAAAAATATATAGGGGAAATGGCTCAAATATTGGCCTATGGATCTAAGATTGGATCCATCGCTAAAAATCTGCTATTTATCAATTGTATCCAGATGAACGCGTCAGTGAGACGGTACTAATGGATATTTTTGGATGCTATTGAAAATTTAGTCGATTGCTGAATTTATGTATGGGCCCAAATTAGGGACACTTAGGCCGACATTACATACATTTTCCCTATGTTTATTAAATAAAAATATGAATAGTTTAAAGTAAAGTAAAATCATGGTTTCAACAAAAATATGTATGTTTGAATTAAATTAAAAAGCATGTTTATTTCAACCCGGGGGCAACTTGACAACTCCAGTACCGTGGACCCCCGGTAATATCATAGAGGTAACTCTAATAGTACGTTCAGACTACAGAGTTATAACATGTTATAGCGCTATCTTGATGGTGGTTTCTGTGTTGCAATTATTTGACAACCGTTATAACATGTTATAACTCTCCAGTCTGTACAGCGTTTAATGCCTTGTTCAGACTACAGAGTTATAACATGTTATAGGGCTATCTTGATGGTGGTTTCTGTGTTGCAATAATTTGACAACCGTTATAACATGTTATAACCATAGAGGTAACTCTAAGACCACTGGGTCCCGAAGAAAATCATTATTATTTTTGGCTCACTCAGTACCAGAACAACGGTCCCAAGCAGTCCCAAGCTATTTCACTCATCCCTGCATGTTCTGCATGAATCCACACACCCCTGATGTTATCTGTCAAACTTTCATAGCGAATCAAAACAAACATAGTGTAGTAAAAGAATTTCAACTAGAATAGGGTACGTTAATCGTTTGCTTGGGACCAATAGGCTACTAAAGTGGTGAACCAATTTAAAATCGTTAGTTTCGTATTGATTGTTGTTATAACTCTCCAGTCTGTACAGCGTTTAAGACAAGTAGGTCCCAAAGAAACGTGCTCAACTTTTTGGCTCACCTCTGGTACTATCTTCGGTCCCAAGCTTGTCGAATCACCCCTCGAAACATAGGAAAAACCAATAACCCCTCATTTTATCTGTCAAACTTTCATAGCGAATCAAAACAAACATTGCGTAGTACTAGAATTTCGACTAGAATAGGGTACGTTAATCGTTTGCTTGGGGACCAATAGGCTACTAAAGTAGTGAGCCAATTTAAATTCGTTAG